CCCCCGTCCTGCTGCCCTGGGGTCACAGCCTGGCAAGTAGTTTCTTGTGCCTCCTGGTGAAGTTGTGCCTGTTTCTGCTTCAATCTTCAGCCGAGCTGCGCAGCCCTAGTGCCCTGGCCTCTTAGCAGAGCTTCTGGTTTATTTTTGAGTGGAGAAGAACATGCGTGGTGTTAATGTGCTATGTGCTTCTTCACCTGCATCATTTCAGTTCCTCTTCACTGCTCTAGATCTGCCCTAAGTGACTTCTTGCCTGCCTTCTCGCACTGCAGCTAAGCGTGAGCTGGATACTTCATGCTTCAGGAATATGCCATTAACTTTATATCTTGGCAGATTTGAGAGGTACAGAGTCATAGCAGAATGGGGCTGGAAGGGACCTTAGAAGGTCATCCACTCCATCTCTCTGCTCAAGGCAGGGTCGCCCCTAACTAAACCATCCTAGAAGAGTATGGGCGCCTATACATATGCAGTGAGGCCGATCTGACGCACTAATTACAGTGCATCGGAGAAGATTAACCAGTGTTATGTGTATCAGCATCCCCATGCTGAAAAATGGTGGCGGGGATGCTTTAAAGCTCATTTGACAAGCTTTAGTTAAAGCACCCCTGCTACCATTTTTCTGCACAGGGACACTGATACATGTGATGCTCCAGGTGCCTTAATTAGAACAGCTCTCAGAGCCATTTAATTAAAGTGCACCCCGTCTTCCTGGAGGACATCTGTAAACATCCTGTGTGTCTAATCTGCTCTAGAAATGCTTCCACAGGTAGAAAGCCTCTGGTCTGTTGACTTTTTTTTTTTTTAATATACTCTTCTGTGCCTGTGTTCTCATTTCTGTTTAATAATTTTTTTATGAAAAATGTGGGGTTTTTTGGTTATGATTGTTCCAATAGTACTAACTATAGCTTTGTATTCTAGATGTGCAATTTTTCCCTGCAAATTTGATCTAAAAATAAAAGCTGCTATGGGTTTGTCAGCGTCATCTCCATCCCTCGCAGTTCAGTCGCCCAATGTATCTGAACATCAAACAGCATCTCCACCTTCAGAATGTCCAATGCATCAGAAAAAAATGGAAGGTAACTATGCACACGACTGAAGTGAACCCAAATTGAACCTTGCAAATGTGTTCTAGAAGGTGTTTGTCAAAGATGGGAGGTTCCTTATCAGCAAAGTAGCGGTCGTATGGAAAACTGCCTCTTTCAAGATGTAATTTGCAAATAGTTGCATTCATAAAGGTAAAAAGGGCTGAGCTCGTCACTCAAAGTCTTCAGAGTCCAAGCCATTTCATACTAGTGCCATGATTCAGAGTTCTGTCTTCAGCAACAGTGCAATATGATATACATCAAAAGTTCTATTTCTTTTGTTGCCAAACTTGCAGTTTTATAATGCTGTGCCATATATTACTGTGTTAGACTGCACATTTAATTGAAAATAGGAGTAGAAAAATGTTACATATGTGCAGATCAGTTACACTTCAAACCTTAGTTTTTTGCATTTCTAGAGTTTGGTGACTAAGTGAAATGTAAAATTTGTATTAATATAGAGGCAAAAAATTAAAGCAGATTTTTTTTTAAGTGCATTTGAGGAGAGAGTGATGTTTTACTAATCAGATGAAAACTAAGGATGTTGTCATTGTAAGAATTATCAAGTAATTTATGAAAAGATATACATTTTTTAATTACCGACTTAAATTCAAGACACTTGTTGGAGCTACAAGCATAGGGAAAAACTTACTGATTTGTTTCTAAGTGGATGGAAGTAAATGTATACAGGGTGGGCCAAGAAGGCCCCTCAGGGCTCAGGGCTGAGAGAGTTGACTGCATATCTACTCCTATATTGTGTTTTGACTCTTCTCATAAAGTTACATTTTATCACTTGTATTTTGTTGTAGTGCTTCATTTAATATCTTTTCTATTTCAGGTTGTGCAGTGCACGTAAAATCATCTGACCAAGGGGCTGAAAACCAAAACGTTGTTCCCGCACATCAAGAACGCGCATATGAATATGTGGCGTGTCCTGTTAAATCTAGTTCATCTCAAACAGCAGATGATATAGATCCTAGAAATATGGTAACTTCAGTTTAGTCTTTTTAAGGTCTCTTTCCTTCTGAAGTCTGACCATGAAAATTATATGGATGTGAGCATTGTGGGAGATGAACAATGAGTTCTCTTTCTGAAGACGTCTCTGAAGCAGGTGGTCTTAAGCCTTTTTCCACTTAAAGAAAAAAAACACTGCAGAGCTTTGGGTTACAACAGGGAAAAAAGGCTTGTGGCAATCTTTAGTCAAGCATGGACCTCCAAAAGCAAGCCAACTATTCCTGTAGGACCTTTGACATGATTTTCAATTTCTCTGTAGTAATTACTTAGCTATACACTGACCCTTCCAGATACTGATATTATATTAAAAATTTTTTTCTATTTTATTATATTAAAATAAGTGATTATTTTTGTTGTTTAGATGCCACCTCCTAATCAGGTGCCATCCCCAGATCAACCATTTGCACTGTCAACTATCAGAGAAGAGTCTACCATTCCTAGAGCATACTCTGAAAAAAATTGGGTTTATCCTTCAGAGCAAATGTTTTGGAATGCTATGCTTAAGAAAGGGTAAGTAACTGGGACTTTCCGTAATAGTATCCAGGGTATCCTGAAGACTCTAGAATTATTCACCAGTGTTCATTGATATTGTAGTAGTTTATTAAGGGACTAGTTGGCTTCAACTGGTAAGCAATCAACTTCTTTGGAGAGACAAATGGCTTTTTAAAAATCTGTCCTCTTAATAAACTGGTTTCAAAGATCATGTTTACTTTAGAGGTAGGTTGTTGTAAAAAAACAAACAACCGTACCGTTTCAAACACCAATCTACTGGTTTGATCTCTGTAATATAGGGACCCCAAGGCAGACAAGTCTTGTATGGTTGCCTGAAACTCAATTAGACTGCTACTAACTTTAAAAATAAAACTGTTAAAAATGTTTGTTCTTGCAAGAAACTTAACGCTGCTAAGCTGCCATTTGTACTAGTAACAACATGAAAACTCAAATGGTTTTAGCAACAGTAGGATTTCTGTGTGTGGTTTTTTTTTTTTGTTTTTTTTTTTTTTAATATAAAGGCAAAAAAGAACAGCTCACATCCTAATATAGACAAGCCCTAAACGCGTAGCATATTTCTTTATGGGCTAAAATATTTAGGAACTAATGAATATTGTCTGATTTGCCACTTAATATTTATTTGTATGAAAGATTTTCATATTTGGGCTGTCTTTCTTAAATTGCTTTATTTTCAGAGCAGTTGATGTTAAAATATAATAGTTGCATTTCAGAACTGTAGTTAAAATGTAATCGATTTGTAATATTCATTTTAATATGAATAATAATAATGAATAATGAATAATATGAATGAATAATAATAATATGAATAAAAATAATATTCATCTTAATATGGCAACCCTGATCCTATGAGCCCTTGCGCACACATTTGCTAGGGCTGTGTGAAGCTTTGGTTGCTGATTCGATTCAGAGGAGACTCAGCTTGATTCAGCAGCCGAATCTCTGAATCGAATCAGGAGACACGTTAATCGCTCCAAATCAATTCAGAGAGATTTGATGATTCAGCCATAGACACAGTTTTATATGTTGAGGTACCAGGCACAGCTCGTGAATGCTGAGTTCGTGGGGTGGATGGAGTGTCTCAGGGGAGTGCAGGGGGAGTCCCCCACATGCTCAGCAGTGGCCCAGAAGTGGACCAGAAATACTTCTGGTCCACTTCTGGGTCTGCTGCAGAGTGCACAGGGGACCCCCTCACACCCCAGCTCAGTGACTGGTGCCTCCTGGGTCTGGAGGGACACCTAGGGTCCCCCTGTGGCTGATTGCTGAGCTGCAGGGGGTGTCCCCATGCACTCGGCGGTGGACCAGAAGTATTTCCAGTCCACTTCCAGGTCTACTGCTGAGCACACACGGGACCTCCCCTGCACTCCCATGGGACGCTCCATCCACTCCATCTCAGCGTTCATGCGCCTGGTACCTCTAGATGCATAGAAAAAGCATGTAAAGCTGTGTTTATGGCCAAATAGCTGATTCTCCGAATCAGAATTGAATCTTCAGATTCAGCTGAATCGAATCGGGACAGAGATCCAAATCAGCAAATCGACTCACTGTCCCCCAAATCAATCCGAATCAAATACTGCCTGCTTTGCACACCCCTAATATTTACTCGTGTTTTAAAAATGGGGATATAAATGTTAGCAGGATCTGGGAATTGGAGGAATTTCTACATGTACCTTTAAGGTACTAGATATAGGATTTTCTGTGCATTAAAAGTGAATCTGGGATGCTCTCTACACACACTTCAAAAATGCCTTTGTGAAAGGTAAAATAACTGTACGTCTGTCAGCTTACTGTAATACTTTGATTTGGCTCAAGCTTTTTGACTAACTTAACTGACGTCTGTGGGTTTCTAGTGTGGTAACATTTGGTAATTATGGCTGCTTCTACACATGCTTGAGACTGGGGGGTTCTTTTTAATTAGAGCAGTTCCTGGACAGCTGCTTTAATTAAAGAGAGGCTCACCATCATTTGTATTAAGTCCCTGCACATTTCAAAATGTCCATTGGATGCATTATCTAAAGCTCATTTGCTGAGGTTTAGATAGTGCCCCCATGGCCATTTTGAAATGTGTGGGGCCTTACATGTGATGGTGAGGCAATGTTGGAGCATTCTAAGGGGACCGTGGAGCAGACTTGATTAATTGAGTCTGCTCTGACACGTTTTAATTAGAATGTGAACAAGCACATTTTTAGGCACCCTGTAGTTTTACACAAAGTTAATATGATTGTCAAGAAGCCCAAGTAGGGAGCAGGGAACTAGGAATCACCTGAGTTCTAATTCTGGCTCTGATATAGACTTGCTGTGCGATCCCAAATCGCTTGCATTTTATACTGGTCAAAATCACTGATGGAGGAAAGTGATAAAGTTAAACTCCACTGTTTGAAAAATTTTCTAAAATAGTATTCCTTTTTTAAGATGGAGGTGGAAAAAAGATGACATATCTCCTGAAGATATGAGTAATATTATTAAGATTCATAATCAAAATAATGAGCAAGCTTGGAAAGAGATTTTAAAGTGGGAAGCTCTTCATGTCATGTAAGTATGTTTGAGATGAAAAATAAAAAGCCTTTGTTTTAAGCTAGTACTATGCTGAATCTTTAAATGTTGGAATGAGTCCAGTTTTCCTAAAGAATGGTCTAAAACTTGCAGTAGTGTGCAGCAACATCTTATTAAATTGGATTTGTGATGGTGTGGATGCATTGCATTGCTATGGAAATATTTGGGAAGTTTGTCCAGGTACATTTGGCAGACTTGATTAAATTGGACCTGAACAAGTTATTACACTGCCAGAATTGGTCAGAATTTCTGTATTATAGGACCTTGAGATCCTTTTTATTTTGGACATGCTGTCTTTTTTTTTTTTTAATTTTAGACTGCTCTGGTACTAAAATTCCTTTGCTAGGAGCAACAGTTTTAGACGATCCAGCAGCTTGAGTGTTGAGGCTCAGCTGACTTCAAGGTGGAAATTACATACAAATATTTTCATTGATAATCTTATGGCTTCCTTCCTAGTAGGAGATGCTGATAAATTTTTAAAGCATGCTAAAACACAACCTGTGCTTTTGCTGAGAGACCTTATCACTGGTTGTAAATCTTCTTTGTTGTTGTTGGGTTTTTTTGGTTTGTGTTTTTTTTTATTTTTAAAGAAGGTGGTTTCTTATAGTATTGGAAGAATTACATTTTTTCCCAAGTTCTATTTTTAATATATTTGTATATTAGTAAAGTAAGTTCTTAATACTGTTTCATTTTGTTTAAATTATAACTTACCAGTCTTAACATGGAAGTACCATTTTAATTGTGTTTGCTAAAATATATTTAGGGAATGTCCATGTGGACCAACATTGATTCGATTTGGTGGTAAAGCTAAGGAGTATTCACCAAGAGCCAGAATACGTTCGTGGATGGGGTACGTGTAAAGGCCATAAATATGTTTTTATGCATGCTGAAATACCATACCTGAAGATCGACGGAAGTGATCATGTTTTTATACGTATTGTCATAAATTAGTCTTTGTGGTGCCTGACTTTCTTTGCTACATGTTTATAAAGTTCATAATCTTGATTTAATTTAACAAGTTAACCACATTGTCTATCTTTCATTTTAGATATGAACTTCCTTTTGACAGACATGATTGGATAGTTGATCGTTGTGGAAAGGAAGTCAGATATGTTATTGATTATTATGATGGTGGAGAAGTAGATAAGAACTATCAGTTCACCATCTTGGATGTCCGTCCTGCATTTGATTCCATCTCTGCTATGTGGGACAGGATGAAGGTAGCTTGGTGGCGCTGGACTTCATAACTAGCTGCATACTATGTAATCAACACCTAAAACTATTTGCCTAAACTGAAGAGGAGAAGAGAGTGGAACTTCAAATAAAGTTCATAGTGACTATACTTATCTTCATTTGCCAACATTATCCTTCCTCATTGGGAGGCAGGGGGATGACATGTCTTTTTCTTATGAACTGGTACTTCATGCCATCTTTAAGTAAAGAATAAGGTGTGTGTCTTTTTTGATCTGGTCAAATTTTGGTGCTTCTAGTTTCCTGAGAAAAGAACAGAAGAAATTATCAAAAAGATTTTTCTGCAAGTGCTCAAGGTTTTCAAAGCTACTTATGAAGTTGTTTTGGAAAGTGAGGTGGAAAATCCTAATGCGTGCTTTATGGTTGATTTTAAAGCTATAAGGCAAAAATAATTAATCAAGCTCTATGCAAGCACATTGGAGCCTTGACCCTGACTGGGGTCTCTGGGCACTACTGCAAGGTGTTTTGTAAATGCTTTTAGCTGGTTATTATAAGCAGTACTCAGATTCTCCTCATGGTGGGTGAACTATAACAGTCTAGCTAAGTGATTACAGTAAGCAATTACTCTTGTTTTATTTAAGGTTCTATGTTGTCATATGCTGGCATCTTATTTCTTCAAATTTACATTTTCTCAGTTTTGCTCATATCTACTCTAATTAAAAAAAAGTATAGCATTTTTAAGTATTTTGTATTCTAAAAAGGAGGTTAATATTTCTTTCAGAATGTTTAAAAGTACTTGTCTTTAACTACATTCAAGGGCAGAATTAAGCTTTTTGTAGAGAATGTGATGCCTTCATTTAAAGAGAAAAAATAATCTGACATGTTCAGCTTGCACTACAACTTTCAGTTCTCACATTTTGCATTATGAAATGTTTTGCAGGTGTGGTAGGTAATCCCTATATGCTGTTAAAAATTTAGCCTTGTAAAAGGCAAATGATAAGCTTCTAACTTGATTGACTTATTTCTAGGTGTTAGGAAAAAATTGTGTATGTTTTAAATATTTGGACAAGCTTGCATGTTGTCTAAAAGGCAGCATGATTTGTAATAGGTTTGTAATTCAGTGTTCCCAGAACTTTAGGATTATAGGGCATCAGGAGCTAGCTATAAGCTTTAAGTATTTTTTGGCATGCCCTGCTCTTGAGAGTGATTTGATTGATTGATTGATCGATCCATGCATAGCACTCATGGCGTTTGGTTTCCTCACTAGCCCCATTATAACCTGCTTAGTAAGAATTTTCTTCACTAAATCCTTAAAAAAAAAAAAAAAAATCCAATATGAACAGATGAACACTAATCTTAACTTGGATGAAGGAGTCTGTAATCAAATTTATACAGGAAGCTGCTTTTGGGATCATTAACTCATCTTGCCTGGAATGATTTTAGATGGGGCTGATCCTGTCTTGAGCAGGAGGGTTAGACTAGATGGCCTCCTGAAGTCTCTTCTAGGCATTCTCTTCCATGATTCTACCTCAGGAGCAACTGACTAGATGAAGCTTCGAGTTTGAAGGTAGTAACATAAGAGTTCACTTCAGAGGTTTCCAAACTGTACTGAATATTATAAGCAAATCCTAGCCTGATATCTAATCTTTTGAAAAGGAGCTACTTCTTTCGTTATTCATTCCTGTTCAGAATAACCGTATTCCACACCAATCTGAACTGGAATCAGTTTTGAACAGAAATAAGCTCTGTGAATCACTAGTGTGTGACACAGTTAATAGGATAAGTATGGCATCCTGTGTCTGATTGAAAGGTTACTGGCCCCATACAGTATAACCTCATGATTCTGACATGCTTGGGACAGAGTACTTGCTGGATAGCTGAAAATGCCGGATTTTTGAAATCTGAGCAGCGGCCGGTCACGGAGTGACTGGTGGAGTTGGGGAGGGGGGTAGCAGCAGGTGGTCCCGAGCCTCTGTGTGTGGTGCAGGGTGATTAATGGTGGCAGCAGCCACATGCAAGCTTTCTCCTCCACATCTGGGGGGAAGCAGGGACCAGTCTTTGAGCAGCAACTCCAGTGCTGAATTTCTGAGATCCAGATTCATGAGATTTTACTGTATTATCAGTCAGAAATACCTGGTGTTTATGTGGTGTTCCTTGCCAAATCAGTGTTGATAATTTGGGATACATACACTCCTTATTTCTTATAAAAAATCACAGAAAAATTAACAGTGCTTAAATTACCTATCAGAAATTTCAAAAGAACTAGTTTATCTCCACTGACTGTAATTTTTGTCAGTGGCTCATTACTAAAATAATCTTTGGTAAAGAACCCAAACAAGATGC